CTATTTTACAAGGGTTACACAAGGTTTCTTTCCCCATGCCTGAGGTCACGCCAAAAGTTCCAAAAGTACCATCGCCACGGCACATGCCCCACCGGGAGCCGCCAGAAGGAGCAGCAGGAGAGTCGCCCACGCCAAGCTCACCCTGGGAATCGCCCATAGCCTGGCCTGGCGTCGCCTGGGGTGTACCACGCCTGCCTATTTGTGAAACAAGGTCAAAGTCGCCTTCTCTCCTGCATGGGGCGCCGCCCATGGTCCCCTCCATTGTCATGGCTTCGCCCATGATTCCTCCAATGATCCTCTCGCTATCTGCCGAGACCTCATCAATACTGTCGCCAAGAGGATAGCCCAAGCCACCAGTGCTGGAGAGGGGATCGCCCAAGCCCCTGGCGCCACCCAAAGGGGTGCCGCCCGTAGCACCACTGGCGCCACCTAGGGACAGCTCTCCGTCGTCTCGCCAACAATGCCCATCTTCTTCAAGCTTTTAGTCTCCATGAACTTGTTGTGATTCGAGAAAAAGAAGACTAAGGGAGAGAAGTGGGCGAGGAATAGTAGCTTCCAGGAGGAGCCTTTAAATAATAGAAGAATGGCTTCTTGGAGAAGCCTTATGGAATAGCTTCTTGGAGAAGCTTTAAGGGATAGCTTCCAAGGGAAGCCTCAAGAGAAATGGAGGAAGAAATGAGGAGGAAAGATTAGGGACCTCTATTTATAGGTGAAGACCCAGACAGAAGAATGCCGATGTCAGTAGACTCAACAGAGAGCCCCAAAAAATGAAAGGGCACCGTGGGGAGAAAGAAACACTCCTACTCACTCAAATAAAGAAGAAGCTCATGCCTTCAACCCCGTCTCTCGCAAACAGTCAAAGGTTTGGGGGGGGGGGCAAATGATGAGCCCAAAATCAACTAGGTCGAGCCCAATAAATTAAGAAGGCCCAAGTCAACTAAAGGGTGGCTCAGGCCCACTTTACTGGTCCGACCCAGTCTAGGATCCAAGAAGATCGGATAGATAGGAGCATGCGGGAGAGACTATCGGGATACGCACTCATGGAAATTCAATCCTACCTTGATTGTACTTACCAAAAGAGTAGAGTCGTCTCTCTTACGTCACCGCATCATCAAACCTATATAATGTAAGTCCTCTTCACATGGAAGAGCATCACCTTGAGACTTCAAGACACCTCTACATCTCACACACCTCTCTATATCTCTTTACACATCAAGTCTCTCTCTCCTAAAACATTGTAACTCCCTCAGAGTATACTCTCCCTGTTACTTTATTCATCAACAAAAAACTTCGGCCACCTCTGCTGTTTCTCGAGAGTAGAGTAGGTCATCCGGACCGAACCACTATATATCTTTGTGTTTGCTTATATTTACCGTTTTGCAATTGATTGCATATTTATTGCTCATTAATTGCACTCTTGCATATACTTGATTGTTGATTTTGTACGAGTCCAATTTGTGCATCATCGTTAAGCATTGTATTTTCAGCTTTTATCCTAGTCGAGCTAATGGTGAGATCAATTTTTTGTCCGAGATTCAAGAGGAAGGATAGGAAGCCCCAACCCATATGCTAGACTATATGAAGTTGAATTGGTTAGAGCTTGATAGACTCAACTGTCCTTACGCCCTTTAGCAACAGCAAACTATTTCACTTAAGGTGTAACAGACAATTATTGCAACGAACAGTCAACTATTACAAATTAAAAATGATACATATATAGCATAGGAGAAAACAATCACAGACGAGTAAACCCCAAAGGAGGAGCACAATAGAGCCACCACGGAGGGCGACAAGAGAAATCTCTAATAATTGATCACTCGATCTCTTAGTTGAAAGAATCTTGATAGAATCAATGGTGACGGGCCAATAATTTCATTCTTAGTAGATAATAAGCAACTTAATAAAATAGTAATGTTTAGACCAATTTAATGACCTGCTGTTGTTTGGTTGGCAACAGACCTTCGTTCACCAAGTGCTTCAAGTGATGTAGCTGCTGATCACAGACATGCACTAAAAACAGTTCTTACGCCAAAAAACATTGCTAAAAACAGCGTCATGCGGTTTACTCAACACACAATACTTTGGTTTCTACGATCCAGTTTGTCCCATTTCTTAGTGGCATCACACATATAAATAGAAAGCTCACCAAGCCACTAATTCACATCTCAACGTACCCAAAACCAAAAAAAATGGCAGAGAAGGAAGGAGGCATAGTCAAGAAGGGTCATGAAGAAGGCCTGAAAATGGCCATCTCTCTCCTCGAAGAGTTTGGACTCCCATTGGGACTTCTCCCTCTTGTGAACGTGGTTGAAGTAGGGTTTGTGAGGAGCACAGGTTACATGTGGATTGTCCAGCAGAAGAAAGTCGAGCACGAGTTCAAGAAGGTCAGCAAGCTCGTGAGCTATGGCACTGAGATTAACGGCTACATCGAGGAGAATAAGATTAAGAAGCTCAAGGGTGTGAAGGCTAAGGAGCTCATGCTCTGGCCTCCGGTTAGTGAAATCAGCCTAGGTGATCCACCTACCGGGAAGATTCACTTCAAAAGTCTTGCTGGCATTACCAAGACCTTCCCGGCCGAGGCTTTTGGCGCTGGGCAGTAACCCTTGTGGTCTGCCTCAAACCCCACAATAACACAAGTCTCGTACACTAAGCTTCTACTCTACGAATGAAGTTTAGTCCACAGCATCCTTAGGGTAGGGCTACATTGGGGAAGCTAAAAACTCTATACCATTCCTTCTATGGGGTAAATAAATGAGTACGAGACTTGTTTCCTTATTCAAATATTTTTCTTTAATCATAGAGTGATGTTTGAACCATAGCAAGCTCAGTGGCAAGCAGCTATGGTTCTAATTGTATTTAGTTGCGAAATTCGAACGTTTTGTTATTTGTTAAGTGACAACGAGGGAACGTAGAAGAAACCCATCATAAAAACCCTAGATCATAAGTCAAAAAGTTGCGGTCATTGATGCTACTCGAATCCTAACATCAACATAGAATGCAGATTAAGCTTACTGCTATATTTTCTCATAAGCTCAGTTATTGTCAAAGCACAATCCCACGGCTATAATCGCCGATAATGGGATTCGAACGCTGTCATCCAAATATAATTTTGGTTAAAAAGTATTACTAAATATTCAAAGTGCAGTTTCATCATAAAAGATTGGCATGGTTTGCTGATTAACAAGAGTCAAGACTATATCTGTAGGTGGATTGAACAAACTAATGACTCTAGCAAGAAAAGTCACAAAAACCCCTAAAATTTCATCTTCTCCAATCTTGACTTAAATGTATACTTAAATTTGGGTTAATATTCATGTAAAAAAAACTTGATTTATTATAAAAGAGTATAAAATCTGATCATTGAAGATTTAAGTAAAGATTTAACTCTCTCTTAATTTAAATCTTCCGTCATTTAGTATGAATTTGAGTAACCTATTTGAGTAAGGGTCGGATATGCCCCCTAACTAATATCAACTTCAAAACAAAAACAAAAACAAAAACGCAAAACAAATACTTACAAAAGTGCTTCAAATAGCAAACACCAAAATTGCTAAACAAGACAATCTACATGAGTTTGACTAAATCATACAATCACTTAACGTTATAAGGTATTTCAGAATAAAAACAAAAACAATTAAAAACAGAAGCAAATGTTTACGTAAAGTGCTTTCATGTAGCAAGGACCAAAACCGTCCAAACCATAAATCCAGAACGCTGCACCCAACTTTTTTAAGAACCAAGCATTACAACAACAACAACAACAACAACAACAACAGGAGATAAAAAAAAATCTTTAAGAACCACTCTGTTGCACCGAATTCGTTGGTGAATTCAAATTCCCTTCAATATTTCTTCTTTTTTTTTAATTTCTTAATAAATTATTTATTATTGGTAAGTGAGTAGGGACGGAGCCAAAAATCTCTTTTAGAGTGGGCACACTCTAACTATAAGATTTAATTTTTTCCTCCAATAAATAAAAATAATGTGATACATTTATATTTGTAGCATCATAATAATTAGGTAAAGATTCATTAAACACAAAATGGCCAAAAGCCAATATACATAACAGTCTATGCAAACATTAATAACAAAAAGGGGCAAATTGCAACCCTTTACCCAAAAAAAAAAAAAATTGAGCTAATTACAATTATACAAATAGCAACAATTGCCTTGTTAATAGCACAATTTGTACATAAGCCTAAAATTTCTATCAGTAACTAATTTCAATCCTCTTGCAGTGTTGCCTGTTTGTCGTTGAGAGAGAGAGAGAGAGTTGTGGGCACTTGCACTGTACACAAGAGAAGGATGGTGGCTTAGTGGGCCTAATTTTTTTTATTTTAGTGAGCCTAGCCTTTTTATCCTGTTTTGGGTGGATACAGTCTTTTATTTTTAGTTTTGGGTGAGCACTGCCGAGACATTACACACAAAAATATATATATATATATATATATTTGTATAGGTAATTAATTTATTTATTTTTTCAAGAGGACAAGTGCCCTCCTGACCCTTGAAGAGCTTCGCCCCAATAGGTGAGGGATGTACTTAAATATACGGTGGATGATCCATTAAAAAAGAAAGGGTTAATCTTAAATTGTATCTCGAAAAATTGTTTGAATTTCAATTCGTATCCTTAAAAATCAAAAAATTTTAATTTACACTCTCAAAAATAGAAATATGTATTAAATGTGCACCTCAAGTGAATAGGTTTAAAATTAAATTAATAAATTATACTTAAATCCCCTCATATTTGTCACTTAATTACTTAAATCTCTCACATTTAAAATATTATATCTACATCCCTTTAGAATCCAAATATGACTAAAAATACTCTCTCAATTGGACATCCAAATAATTATGTTTAAGTGATATATTGCAATGGATATAAAAAATATTATACAAATATATGCATTATATTGGGCATTCAAACGATAAATTTGATTTTTTAACTTTAAAGTATAATGGGGACACAAAATAAAAGGTAATATGAAAATTATAATTTTTTATTAGGATGAAATCATATTTTTTAACGGTTATATTAACAGATATCAACGACAAATGATTATGTATTACACGTGCACAAATGTTAGGAGGTGTAAAAGTAATATTCTAAATATGAAGGGGTCCAAATAATTAAGTGACAAATATGAGGGGATTTAGGTATAATTTATTTGTTTAGTTTTAAACGACAAACTAATGATTGTTAATTTCAAGTACGCATTAATACAAATTTTTATCTTTGAGAGTAAAAATTAAAAATTTTAATCTTTTAAGGTACAAATTAAAATTCGAACGACCTTTCAGAATATAATTTATGATTAACCCAAAAAAAAATTAAACAAAATATATATTATAGGGTATCTTGATCTTTGTAATGTCAGATGTCATCGTAAGGTTGATCTATAACGGCTATATTTTCTGCAGAATAGTACATTCAGCCTGAGAGCTGAGAAGTTTGACACTTGTAACGTACATAGTACTACTTACTGTAGTACTGTTCCATATTTTGACTCTGTATTATTGTCCTCTTTTGGATTTCTCAGACATACTCCAATCTCTTTCACACTTCTTTGACAGTCAATTGTAGGGCTGGGCTCCGACTCTGACAGTGCCGGGGAGGATACATCCGAACTCCTATTTCGACATCAATCGGAGTTTATTTTTTTCTCTAATTCTAACTTCAATCAATTATAACTTCGCCTCAGTTGCTGTCTTTGTCTCCGTCTCTTACCAACTATAATGCAATAAAAAGAGTAGTTGGATGCACGGGACTTCGATTATTATAGAGTTTAAAAAATATTAAATATACAATCTTACACAATGCAAAAAAATTGTTACAAAAAATCAAATTCCTAACGTGTGGGACACAATAATAAACTTTACAAAAATGACAATGAAGAGTTGTATTTCAATGTCTTTTGTGTAAGGTTTCTGAACAGTCAAGGGACAATGAATGAGAAAAAGTTGAAATTCATTGCAACCCCATTGACTCCTCACATAGAGAGAGAGAGAGAGAGAGAGAGAGAGAGAGAGAGAGAGAGGGGGGGGCAGTGTTTTTAATCTTTTGTGTGGGAGTCAGTAGAAAGCCCTCCTCCATTGACTCTTCACATAGTCCCCCCCAAAAATAAGAAGGGAAAAAAAAAAAAAACCAATTTGGATACGAGTTTAATTAAACAAACCCACCTGCAAACAAAATTTTAGATCCATCCAGGAGAAAATGGGATTCGAACCCATGGTACAATCTTTTTGTATGTTAATTTAGCAAACTAATGTCTTAAGCCACTAAGTCATACCTCCAAGTTGTTGATTGGAATAGAATTGAATGTGCCGGGTTTGATTGGTTGCCCGAAAGGCTTGGCGAAGATATGGAGGTGCTTTTGAAATTTAAATTTATTTACAATAAAATGGTTACATAATTTAGTCTTTGTTATTGGTCTTGTTTGTGTGTGTCAGCCTAACATTACTCATCTATTAGGCAATGGGAACTTTTACAGTACTGTCCACAGGACCGGTACCAAAAATTATAATTTTTTAAGATTAAATTATAATTTTTTTGAGGTATAAATTATAATTTCAAATGTCATAATCGATCATGGAATGTTGAGATCGATACCGCGTTTTTCATGATCGATTATTGGTATTTGTGATCAATTATAACTTCCTTTAATCAATTGTAACTTTTCTTTTTAAAATCATAATTTTACCAAATAACCAGCGATACCAGTATCGAAATTTATTTTTCTTTTGGGTATAGTAAAGTTTTCCTTACGCAATCCCATAGTATACAATAGTAAATACAAGATAGATTACATGTGAAACTCCAACCTAATATAAAACTAATGTAGTAGGTTTTGGAGCCAATTGTTGCTTTCTGAAACGTACACATACAAGTAATGAATATGCCATCCAAGTTAGGTATCATAGTGGTGTCATTCCAAGTCCAAGTCTCTAAATAAAGGTCTGAGAGCATGGCCGGAACACATTAAACAAATCCAATTGAATGAGTCTTGTAACAGTACTCTCTCTCTCTCTCTCTCTCTCTCCCCTGGATATATAAGTTGAAAAAAAATGGATGAACTTGCAAAAGAGAGACTCTTGAGAAATAGACAAGAGAGTAATGAATTGTATCAACCACCCAGACCAACCCTTTGTAAGATGATGGGCCATCATTTACAAACTCAAGGTTTTCATACTACCCTTTTTTGTAGGGATGGCGGTCGATCGAGAAAAAATCGATAAGCCCATAATATATATATTTTTCACAAAGACACAAACTCTACTCACTTAATAATACATATAAATAATATCACAAACCCCACCCACTCACTCACTCACTCACCCACCCACCAACTTTATCTTTACCAAAAAAATAACACTACTTTCTCTCTTTTTGATGTTTTACTTTGGTGAGTTTTTATGTTTAATCAATTTGTGAAATTTTATGAATTTTTTTTAATTTTTTTCTTATAATCATAAAAATCAGTTGTTATGAGCAATGACAGTGACAGAGAGACGTGTATCAAAATTTATCCGCGAGCAGGGGCAAGAATTAAAAAAATTTCCTTTAACAGAAATAGACCAAAAATAAACAAATATTTTTGAAACGGGGAGACTACTCGCCCGCTCCGGTCCAGTGCCGTCCATACTTCTTTCTACTGAACAAGGTAGAATCTCCAATCCCGCAAAATTACGAAACTACCCCAGCTCCAACAAAATAAGACGCTACCAGGCATAAAATATCTTACTTAATGGTGATCTGCAAAGAAAGAAATAGACAGAATATGTGGCAGATAAATCATGGAAAAAAAATTGAAGAATTTTTATTGATGAATGGTTGAGGAAAGAAACAACGATATCAATAACATCATCATAATAATCCGTTCACTGACCAGAGTAGCCATCCATTGTCCCCCAAAGCTTCCAATCTTCTTTATCTATCATCACATTAATATACATCTACAGATCCTCCCTGCTAGCCATCTCTCTCTCTCTCTCTCTCTCTCTCTCTCTCACTCAGACAGACAGACACAGCTAACTAGACAGCAGTCTATAATCAGTAGTACATTTTCCTCAATAATTCCATTGACACTAAAAATTATAGAACATGGCTGGCCTACATGAAAACGAAGATGAAAAAAGCCTAAAAAACTATTACAAAAGCAATAGAAAAGGAGATGGGAGAAGGTGGAACCATAGGACAATGAGGAATGAATGAACAAATAACAATGGCACAAGGGAACTAAGCTATCTATCAGTGACTCCAGTGGCACAGGCTGATTTGGCTCCTAATGAGATTATTATGTAGTGGCTCCGAATATGTCTCAAGTAACTGGTAATCCTTGTATGGTGGGAGGAGAGTCTGTTCCCATCACACTGGGAGTTTGGAAGCAAGAAGATATGCAAGAAAATATGGCAGAAAAGCAGTACAGCAAAGTCTTGTTCAAATACTGTAATGCCTCACCGAGGATTCCATCACCTCCAGACTTGGGCAGACCATTTCCTTCACCCGGCTGCCTCTTTTGTAAATTTTAATTGTTGGTACAATCCGAACATTCTCAGCATTTGCAATTGTTGGACTAACATCCACATCCACCTTAGTTTGAACATAAACAGAAATGTGAATTTTTTGGTTTTGTATCTGTATATATGTAAGTCTATAATTACAGAATTTCTATAAGAAACAAGGGGAAAATTCCCGTTGCATAGAACAAGACTTGACAGGGAACGTGGCACGAATCATTTACCTGGATAAAACTAGTTGAGGGGTATCGGATGCATAATTTGTCCATGAATGGAGATATCTGCTTACATTGCAGGTTGGAAGCTGCTTTGAAATGGACCACAGATGCACCTGGAATATCATAAGATATTCTTCAGTAAAAAAATCAAATGATAATGCTAGGATTGAAAAAGGCATGAAAGTGTAAACGCTCACAAGGTGCAGAAATCGCTGCTCTAAACTGCTCAAGACCTGAAACCACCTCCACTTCCCCACCAAACTTCAAGTTATAAACTTCTTCCCCACGGGATTGCTTCATTGCAACTTGAGCATGAAATAAGGATTCAGCAACCTCTCTATCATATGGAAGTTCCCTTCTTAAGACCTCATAATCTCTCACGGCTTCTTCCCACCGCTCAAGCTGAAAACGAAATTCCAATTGTAAATTCAGATCTCGGACACAAACAGAATCGTGTTGGCAAGCACATAAAGTTGTTCAGCAAATTTCACAGATAGGAGGAAATTTGGGAAGGGATTTTACCTTCTTGTTTGAGGCAGCCCTTCGAAGAAGAGCTTTGGTGTAATTGGGCTGGACACGGAGAGCTTGGTTGCAGTCACCAATGGACAGGTCCCAGTGTCCAAGCTTATACCAACAAGCTGCTCTGTTGCAGTAGAGAACCGAGTTTGTAGAATCAAGCCTGAGACCTTCCCCATAAGCTGAGCAAGCTTCAGTGAACCTTTCAGATTTGAAAAGATCATTGCCACGAGCACGAGCTCTTCCCACCAACCTCACATTGTTGAGCAAAACCAAAACCTCTACATTTCGGGGGTCAATCTGCCCAGCTTTCTCAACAGCTGTGAGTGCTTCTTCAAACCTGCAGCACATCCATCACCCATTCTCACTCTCGTCCATGAACACCCCTATTTCATTTTTAAAGCATGTAGTTTCTGAACTCACCTTCCCAGTGCCATCTCAATTTGAGCATGGACAAAGAATATGTACGCTTCAGAAAGCATCCCAAAAAACTTTGCCCTGGAGTAGGAAGGAGTAGATGGTTCAAATTTAGGTAGGGTTGACAGTCTCAAAACTGCATCATCTAGTTGGTGAAGCTTTAAAAGGGCTTCTGCTCTACATGCAAATAGCTGTAAGATAAAGGTTAACCAGTCAAGTCATGAATTTTCCTTTCTTCAGACCAATTCCTCAAACTACAAATCTATAATGGAAGAAAATCATATGGATTGCCTTGCCTGAGGAGAAGTGCTAGCTCCAGAAGCAATGGCGGCATCGTCTTCCCTCAATGCATTTTCCCAATCGCCAACCCTTCGGGCATCGGTACACTTGCTTAGATGCTTCTCTATGGCTTGCAATTTCTGCAATTCAACTGGATCTGGCTGGTGTCCTGGAAAACAAAGGTGCCTCCTAGCATTTTCAACCTGTCCTAAACTGTGACCCTTAAGGGAGTTAGATTGCTTAATCCATAGTGCAGGACAAACAATGGGAACCCCATTAACCGAAATTCCCAAGGAAAAAAAGCAGGGAACTGAAACAATATTAGATAAAATTCATGTTACTCGAATAAGGTGCTTGATGATCAACTTAAAAGTGAGCAAACCAAGTGCAGTGGGGGGTTCCATAGTTCATAAAGAAGTCATAGCACATCGTTCAGTAAACTTGAATACGAACAATGTGAAAACAAATGTGCCAAAGAATGAAAAGAAAAATATGAACATAATCAATATGTATTGATGTGACGACATAAACAACCCACATTGTTAAATTAGTCTAGCAACAGATACAGAACCAGAGAAGCAAAGAAAAACCTACAATAGCCGAAGTGAAAAAACAAAGGGTGTGCTAACACCTAGAGTTAATTGTCACTACTGTTTTGTTTTTTTTTTTGAAATGTTTTACCCAAATACCATAGTTTCAAACTTACTTAACAACTACCGCTATTCTCATGAAAGCGTGTCTTGAAAACACGCTTTTCAATGCAAAAGAATGTTTTTCAAAACACACTTCCAATGAAAAGATACACACAGGATATTTAGGAGTTACAATATACCCAAAACAAAATAACAAAAGACCTGACAAATCATAGAAGACATCATTAACAGGAAACAAAATGTCATTAACCGAACCCACTTTACTAAATCACTCAGAGCAATAGATATCAACAAAGGCTGACACGACTATAGACAGAGAATCAAAGGAAAACCTACAGTTACCCAAGTGAAAAAAACAAGGCATACCACACCAAAGGGGACACACGGAATATATAACAGCGAATATACCCAGAACAAAACAACAAAATAAACAGGCAAACCACTGTACAATATATCATCCCCTTGAACTAGATCTGGTTAAATGAGAAACAACCACCATTTCATCAATCCATGTAAAAAGCACCAAAGTTTGAATCCCATGAATCTAAGAAAAAAAAGAGAGAAATCAATAAACATGGCAGTGCAAAGATTTGAACTTTGTTCCCTCAGTTAAGGAGGAGATTCTCCAGATTCTACCCTCGTGACAATTCATAAAAACTGCCAATGCCAATACATTTTCGAACAGTAGGCAATAGGCCTAAAAACCTCAAGATTAAAACTTTTTTTCACTCACCAAAGCTAAGAAGGAGAGACTTACCAAACCCACAAACCAATTCATCAAAAGTTCAATAGATTTATAATTCATCGAACATTCAATAGATTTAAAGAACCAATAAGATAATAGATGAACGAACACATAGCAAGAAAATTAGAACTTTTTTGCACTCACCTAAGAAAAAGAGATCCTAAACGATGGTGTGCTCTCACATATCCTGGATCCAACCTAATAGCTTCTTCGCATTCCTTCACTGCCTCCGGCAATCTCTTGAGACCCATTAATGCCGCTGCTCGGTTACAATGGTAAGCGGCATTGCCGGAAGCAATGGCAATCGCCTTATCATAAAGAGCCAATGCCTCAGCAAAATGACCCTTTTTGTGCTGTTCATTCCCTAACCTCTTCAACTCCTCAGGTTCATTACTCCACATCGCCCTATTCAATGATTCTACGCCGACGACGACGTCCCCAACACCGCCGGATTTGGCGGCGACACCGCCTCGCATTATGCTTCCGTGGCCGTAATTGCCCGATCCCGACCGCAAAACGTCGATTCTCGAGGTCCGACTTGCCATTCCAGTCTTCAAAACCTTGCCCGACGGGCAAATATTACCAGTTGGAAATACATTCGCCGCTGGCGAGTTCACTGAACCTGAGTAGACTAATGGGTGTGACCCACCCGAATCGGACCTTCCATTGCTTTTGACGCCACGAGAGGCGCCGGCCTTTGGGGAACTCTCGACGGAACCGGAAAGCTCTCCGGAGTGGTTGGAATCGGATCTCCAGGGAACCGCGTTGGACCCGTTTCGGCCGGATATAGATCCGGATGAACTAGAACTACTGCTGGTGGTGGTTGTGGTGATAGTGAGCCCACTGGCCCGAGTCCGTAGAGGGGAGACCGGCGAGCCCAGATCGAGTTCTCGGAAGTCGGGTTTGTTGACGTTGTCTTTGTCGTCTTCATAGCTCAGTGAGCTTCGAAACCGATCGGTGAGTGTATCAAGCCCCAGTTCCGCTATGGGTTTTCCAGAATGTGACATTTTCGAACCCAAACACAGTCCTTAATTCTCTCTCTCTCTCTCTTTCGTTCTCACTATCTTCCCAACGTCCGTGGCTGGAGCTACAAGACCAACGCCAATGGGTAATAGTAATACACTAGGGTGAGAAACAGAGACAGAGGTCTTGAAGAAGGCATGAAGAGAGAGAAAGAGAGCAAAAGATGGGGATCTCGTGATTTAAAAGGGTGAAGCAAAGAATGAATGTGATGTTGGAGAGAGATAGAGAGAGAGAGAGAGGAAGAAAGCTTTTATTTTCTTCTCCTCTCCCTTAACCTGCTGCTTCACGAGACAGGTTTTCCTTCTCTCCCAATGCCCCCCTCTTTCTTCTCTCTTCTCCTTTCTTATTCTCCCTCACTCATCTCTCCTTTGGCTACACTGTTTCTCTCTCCTTCGCCTCCATTAACTCACTCTCACGCCAAATATAATAACAATAGTAATTTACTTAACATCTTAATTTTGGTTTTTTCTGACAAATCAAATACCCACAAGCTACTTTGCGTCTAATCATGTGATTTTTTTATTTATTTTTTCCCATTTGGAACAAATTGTATGAAACGAAGAATTTAGGGTGCTAACATGTAATTTAGCGACTATAGTTGAACAAGTACTCTTGTTATTTTTTTAGTAGCTTTGTAGAATGTAGTCGCACTAAATATTGTTTTTGCCTTTTGGGTTAATTGCATTATAGATCCCTAAAATATAGAATTTGTCTTATTTTGATTTCTAATATTTTAATTGCATCATTTTGATCCCTAAGATATTTAATATGTTTCTATATGGTCTCTTAAGCAGACATCGTTCAGATTATTAACTATTTTTTATCATAAATTTATCACATGATATTTAAATATGGACAAAAAATAATTTGGATAACTCTTAATCAAATTTCTACTCAAATTTTAGTTAAATAGTTATCTAAATTTCACTGTTTTGATTATGAGCAATCCAAATTTTAGTCAAAAGATACTTATATTACAGATTTTTTTTATCAAGAACTACCCAAATTTTGTTTAAGGGCTACCAAAATTATTTTTTGTCCATTTTTAAGTATTACATGATAAGTTTATGATAAAAAATTGTTAGCAATCAGAATGTTGTCTATATGAAGGACCATACAAAAACATATTCAATACTTCAAGAACCAAAATGATGCAATTAAAATATTGAGGATTAAAATGAAACAAATTTCATACTTTAGGAATATCTAGTGCAATTAACCCTTTTTTTTCAATGGTTAGAAGTGTTCGAGACATCTGTTGTGCATCTCTATTAATCCTCTTCTTAATCTAGTCAATGGCATCTTATCTACGCAACGACTAAGGTTTAAGAATTCTCAAAATTCAAACTCAAAACGGTATAGAAATATCTAATTTATTTATAACCTTACCACATCAATTAATTTGTTTAAGAATTTTCCACATCCATTGATCCACAAGATTTAGTTAGTTTAGTAGAACAAATAACATGTAATTTATGGATATAATTTGTTTTGAGCCGCAATTTATGGATATAATTGAATAAATAACCTTATATTTCTATATAAAATGATATGCAAGTCCCCAAAAAATAAATAGATAGAAGCCCAAAATGTGGGCAAAATAGAATGTCACAGAGAAAACGAGAAAACAATTTTTTTTTTTGTGCATAATAGTAAAAATTGATGGTTTATCAGATTGATTAATCTTGTATTTTTTCATATATTTGCAATCTAAATAAGCTTTATTAAAACAATGCATAATTTTAGACTTATTCCGATATATTTTTCTTAAATTTCTCTCCATTGTAAATTATCCGTAATAAATGAAAGTATGATCTCAATATGTGAAAAATAATTTATTATTGAATAAAATTTTTAAAAAAAAACTATTTATGTGAAAAATAATTTATTATTGAATAAAATTTTTTAAAAAAACTATGTATAGAAGAGCTGGAAATCCGTGATGCCAATGGATGGCTTAAAGTATACATTAATTCTCAATGAATGCTACAAGATATTCACAAAAATGCCAATTAGACACTTGTAAAGAAATTTTATTTTCAAAATGGTACCGAGAAGATTTAAGTGGAGCAGAGTATTATGAATTTATCTATTTTTCATGATAGAGAAAAGAAATATTTCAAAGGTAAAGGTTTAATGAATCTAAAGAAAGTGTATGGAGCATGACCAAAAAAAAAAAAACAGAAAAGTGTATCGAGTGCGTTGGTTACACGAAAGCACGGTAACCACATGTGAAGCGAATTTGTTTTAAAAAATATTTTATTTATTTATTAATTTATATCTAACCAATCGTGTCGTATCAGATTCACGTCATATATAAATCGTATATAATTAATATATAAATCAATCGTGTCGTATATTTTTTTTAATTGATTTCACTCATATCATATCCATTCATTAATCGTGTCGTATCGAGTTTATTCGTTTATCAAATGGATGATTTAAGAAAAAAATGTGGTTCACTAGTCTATTTATTTGTTTATCATTAAACAATTACACAAAATATCAATATTATTGTAGTATAATCGTTACACTTAATATTTACTCTTAGTGAGTTTCGACCCTGACGTAAGTATAGTAAAATATCCAACAGATAACTGTGTATCGTTGAGTGGTAATATTCTCTGATAAATGTATGAAGTGATCTATTTACATATTCATTTATGTACCAAAAAAACAAAAACAAAAACTATACGTACAAGTTCCTTTTTGATCAAAAAGTAAAGAGTTGCATATTATACCTCCCCTTTTTATTTTACTAAAATCGCGGTATCTGTAAAATTATTTGATATATTAGTATTTTTTTATTTTTCATCCAATTAAATTGGGTCATTTGTGATTTTTTTTTTAATTTTAATTTTTAATTTTATATAACTTTATCATTATGACTACAAATCAATCAAAATTAATTTAAATTTTTTTTTCAATTTTAATATTATGCCTATAATTTTTAGGAGAGCACTATATACTTATGCAAACATAACTATTCATTAAAACACTCCATAGACCTAATTCCATTGCAGGCCCTCCTTGCAAAACTTAATCCTTCCCTGTTTCACCATCAAATCCAATAGATAAAAAAACACATAGTTTTAGAAATAGTTCCCCCAATGGGGTTTGTAGTTCAAAAGTCGTAGTTAGTAAAAAAAAAATGAATTTTTTTTTTTTAGTTAAAATAGACAAGGGCGGATTATACTTTGATCCCTTGAAAGATTTAAGTATTCACACGCTATACCTTCAAAAATTAATTTTTTGACATTGTATCTTCAATATATTAAAATTATTATATTGTGACCCTTCTGTTAAATTTTACTACTTATTATGTGAAAAACTACCCAACTGAAATAGATGGAATAAGCAACAATAGCTAACAAAAGAGTCATACTACAATAATTTTAATAAAATTAATAGTGTAATATGAAAAATCTTATTTTTGAAAGTATAAAGTAAAAATTTCTAATTCTTTTGAGGTACAAATTGTGATTCTTCGATAAATAACTAAGGATAATCCGTGTCTGAAGGCACAATAAACTGTGAATAATTTTGAGGAAGATGTTGGTGGCCGTTAGATAAGTTTATTTAAAACTATCGAATAAATTTATTAAAACATTATATTTTATATTATAGATTTTAAAAAAAAGCTTAAAACTTCGATCTTTATTCTATTTGTTACCCTTGACTGTGGGGGAATAAATGCGACCCACATGGCGTGGTTGTGTTTGACTTATCTGTAATTTAATTACAAAATTTTAATATTTTTTTTTTGAGTACAATAACACTAGTTACTTAACTTTGTTATTTAGTTATTTCTATATTAGCAAACTCTGCGCAGTATAATTTTTTTAAGTGTGGCTAACGTGTAAGTGAGTAATTAAAATATTTATTAAAATAATTAAAATATAAATACTTAAAATTATTTATTTTAATTAAAACATAAATTAAAAATATTTATTTAACTCAAACTTATTTTTAAAACTACAACGAGCTTTTATTCTAGGTAACAGCTAAACTTGTTTGATCCTCTGAAAAGTCACCGTACAGTATAGTGTAAAAAAGACTTTCTGAAAAAGAAAAAGAAAAAGAAAAAGGTCAACATCAAAGAAATGTTGAGGGAGTAAACAAGGCAGTGGCATTTCAGTAAACTCAAATGAGTGACGAGGGCATTTTGGTAAAAGGATTACTTACAGTCTCGACAGCAGTGTAGCTGGCCATGTGCTTGAGAGTGTCCTGCCAGCTGGCCCTATCTAAGTGTCTTACGGTGGTCTCCAGCTAAGTGGATAACGGAAATGCGTGAAGTTTACGGCTTTCCCCCGAATATTCAACTCATTTTTGGAATATTCCGTTAAAAATGACGGAACCAATGGCAAACCGATGGTGACAGCTGATAACTAGCCATCATATGCTATGGGTGTGCAGAGGCGTGGAATGATGACCAGGCGATCCCTCCCCATTCCTGCCAGGTAAGCAAGCACCTAACCACTCCCGAGCAACAATCTGCTGCGGTAGCGTGCACACTTTTACGAAAAGCTAGCAATGATTTTTCAACGATAAATTATATTTGACCCTTTCAATTATGATCTTCTTTTTCACTTTACCCCTTAATTATTAAATGTTTTTATATTGTCTCCTTAATTATTTTACATTGCCCCAATCACAAACACTCGTTATCTTTTTGGCCAAAAATTATTGATATGTCAAGAAAAAATGAAAAAAATAAAAAATAAAAAATATATATATATATATATATATATAT